TAAGTTAGGCTGCTGCTTCCAGTCTGCTGTTGGCCTCAACTTAGATGTGTTTAGAGAAGGGCAGTTCACTGCGTCCTGCCTTAAGTTGTCCCATGCCATACTGACTCTGGCCGTCAAGCTCCCCCCGCGCCAGAGACATCTCCTCGCAAATATCCCCCCCCCCCCCCCCCCCCTTCACGATTAACACGGGCACAACCATCCTTGCATCCTTTAACGTTCCGTTACTTCTACCTTCCATGTTCCACCCACCGCGGCCAACTCCTCCCACCTCTACCGGCTACCCCAGCTGCACAGACCGCTCCAACAACAGAACAGGTAGGTATATGGCACAGCTAAGGGAGCAGCTCGAGGTTGGGTTTCTTGCCAGGGATGAAACAGTCGTTTCTTCCTGCCTATGCCACCCCCTTCCTCCACCCCTACCCCCACTCCACTAGCGTTGCCATCCCATCTTATACATGCCTCATTTCCACAGCTCCGCCAGCAGACAATTCCAGCGTCCTCTGACTTATCCCCCCCCACCAGTTTCACTTTTAGCCACAGCTAACCCTATCCTTGGACAATTCCGAAGTTGTCGGCCCTTTGCCTTCCAACAACCCCAGGAGGAGATACCCGAGGGATATCGTCCGTCCACAACGCCGCTCTTCCACCCCCTCGAGATCCAGCCGCTAACAACGGCCAAAACCACAGCGACCCTTCTCCCACAGTCCAACACTCCGATGGCCCCATACATCCCGCATTTCAGAGTGGACAGTCTCTCGACTGAAGTATGCACTCACCCAGCTCAACATCCATTTCCACCAGTCCGACAGAAAAGCAAACTCTTCAAACTGCTCACGGCCGCTCGGCACTACACCTCCCTCGATCGCCGAGCCACCAGCATCAGGCGCTACGTCGACACCCAGACAAGCCCAGTCACTCACTCCAGCCCCTCTAGAGGGCCAGTTCGTATCGCACACCCTCCTTACTCTCTCTGCATCAGGGATATCTCACCCTGCAGCCTCTTTTCCCCAATCTACACTTCCAACCCAGGCACATGCATCCTTTTATCCCAGCATCTTTTCCTCTTCCCTCGCTCCTGCCTTTCCGTTCAACATAACACAGGCTATCGATCACTGGTAACCACATGAACCTCACCCAAATATCGAGCCATCCACACGCAATCCCCACATCTCCTGGGAATTGCTAAACAAGCTCGGCCGCTGCACTCAAACAGCCACTCCCCACCTGAGCAGACATCACCAGGCTCCACCTAATTCCCAGCCCGGACTACTCGACAAAGTACTGTTGGGAACGTAAAGGAGCGTGTTTGGGTTATCAGCAGCCAGAGGAGCAAGAACCGGGCTCTTTGTCACAGACGTGGTTCCGACCTCTGACCTGAGACGCAGTCCCCGACCTCACTGCGGCTGTCTCGACACGAATCACAGTAGCATAGAATACACGGTAACTTCGACACAACGCTAGCAAATTCAGGGATCGCCAGTGTCGGTGATCATAAAGCATACACCAAGTTATAAAAATGAACAGTACTTTAAGCACACAAACAAGATAAAATAAACACAAATGAAACTCTCTCTAACTGCCCAGAATCTATTTCGCCTTACGGTACGATGCAATCGTGGTGATTGAGGGGGGTTCTTCTGAGCTTTGGTGGGCTCGGGCAGCGCGGCTGCGGGCCGTGGGAGGTATTCGCTCGGTGGGAGAGAATCGCTGTCGTCTGGATAAGGGATTTTCGCGTCCTTATGAACGGAGCAAACGAGGTGCTTCATGGAGAGTGGAAGTTCTCTCTCTCTCTTTCTGAAGAAGTCTTGCTTCTTCACTTCTGCAGGAATAAAAGGGGTTCGCTTCGTGGATACGAACGAAGATAAAATAGACAGTTTGGTGAATTCGGCCAGCGAATATAAACTGTTAAACCTAGGTTTTGGTTAAAAAGGGAAACAACGTTGGTGTGCTCCCTAGCTCGACGGAGGTCGAAGGGAAAAAGCCTTGAGGTGGGGGTTGCTGGTTGTTTTGTAGAAAGGTGGCTGAACCACAGGGGTCCTGGGTTGTCTTGGCCCTCGGCCAATTAGATTGCAGCGCTGCTTTCAGGTGACTTCAGGAACACCCTAATGTGAATTTCTTCAGAGTTGGGGGGTTTGGTGCTCATCAAACTACAATCAGGATGAAACCTTTGCTTGCAAGAGGGAAGGCCTGACTCTCTTTGTTCCACAGCACATGTCGAAGCCATATAGTCAGATCCCAACAGTACATAAGAATTGATCACGCCACGTTCCCCATCCGCCTCGCAGGCGAAGAAGCCGGTCACCTAAGGCAGACATCACCAGCACCTCCAAGTCCTTACCACCGATCCCAACTAACGGTACCTTTTCGTTTTCTTCGGAAGGACGCGTATGACTCAGCCATGTGTTCGTCCAAGAGCAGCTTGAAAATTTGCTTACCTGAATCCGGACAAACGTCTTGTCACCGCAACCTCTCGGTGCATCACTTAATCCTACTGTTTCAATCACCACGGTCATTATTGTGCTACCTACTGCCACCCACTGGCACGGAAGAGTATTTAATTACATAGCCAGCGTATGTTGCAGGCCCAGACGCTCAACCATGGCCTTCAAACCCAGCACCCGGTCTAAACACTCGGCTTTCCTCCACCAGATAAAATAAATAAATAGAATCAATAGATTAAACAAAATCCTCCTTGCCACACATCCCGTTAGTCGCCACCACCGTTACAAATCTCCATGACCACGTCACACTTGATGAAGCACGTAAACCGAGCTAAACTGACACCAGTTCCTCTCCTCCCGAAACGGCATCTCCTTCCATGACGAACGCATCACCGAAAGCCAAAAGACATCCAGCTTTTCACAGACGCAGCACCCTCGATCAGCTTCGACGGCTTCTACAGTGACAATCGGTCCTTGGCCGCTTGAATTCTCATCCCCCACACCTTCCTCCGCGATCTACGAAACGCATCCCTTAGTCATAGTAGCCATTCTTTTGGGGCATGAACGGTCCATTAATGACCATTGCCATCCACTCGGAATAGCGCAGAATATAGCGCCTAAACGGCTGCCCCTCACTTCGGACCTCCTCACCTGCGGCATCCTCACCCTCGGCTCAGGTCATCAGTATCCCTTCAGGGACAAAGCATTAAAGTCCACGTTCTTGCCAGCTTCTTTCGACTGCTCTGAGTTCACCGCCTTGAACTCCATCCGTACCGACATGCCACCGCGTCAGACATCACATCCATCCTCCCGACACAGTCGTCTATCACCTCAAATGCCGCATTACCAACCAATATGGTCCACCTCAACCCATCTACCTTTTCCGACCAGACTCGTACTCGAGTCCATACGAACCCATCCGCGACTACTTAAGCTCAAGTTCAGCCAGCCGAACTCCCCGCAAGATCCCCTGTTGCTATCTCGGCCTCACCACCACTTTCGCCATATCTTGGCCCGATCCAGAATACCCCCTGAGTTTATTCGGCGCCGCCTCTACCGCTTCAAGCAAAGGAATTTCCGACCACATCCTCAAGATACGTGACTGTTGGTCTTCCCCCGCGTGCCTCTCATAAGTTCGTTCCAACCCGAACGACACCAGAAACGGCCATCGGCATCAGTCTTTATGGAGCTATCTTTTGGGAACTCTGCACCGCCAGAGCTTCCGAAGAGACGGCCCCCACCCTACAGTCTCCAGTCCCCCCCATTCCCGCCAGCCATCAACGGTCCCCCATCGATCGCCTAACCTCCTTTCTACAAACCCTCCTTGTTTCTTCTTCCTGACATCCCTTCATCCCTCTACCCTACATCCCTTCATCCCTCTACCTAAACCCCTACCCCACATCCCTTCATCCCTCTACCCTACATCTATTTCATCCCTCGACCCCTTCCGCTTCTTGAATCTAACAATCGTTCCACTATGTAATAAACCTCTCAAAACTCATACTGTTGTTGGCGTGGTCCTTGTTAGTGAATGTAACGTTACTGTAGCGACGGTGCCTCTCCCAGCTGTTAACAGACTGTTGTGCTAGCGGGCTAGCTAGCTAGCGAGTTGTACCCAGCATGCCGGTCGGTGGTGTAATTTTATAAATGTACAATTATTAGTGTTACAAATTGTTTATTTGTCACAAACTTGTGTTGTGGTGTTTTGCCCTGTTACAGAGCGTTAGTTGTGGGTTATTAATTGTTGTTATAAAGTTATGACCATGATTAGAGGTCCCTCTCAATACACTTAAGACAACTAGCTCCGACCGTAGCGCTCATAGCGACGAACAATATATTCTGCTGCCTGTTGAAGAGTTACAGAAGTTGTTTCGGCTGTACACCGGTGTGATGTGTGTGAAAAATTCATATCATACGGGAAATTAAAACCGGTATACCGGCCAGCACTAACTCTGATATTATCTCACACCTCCACCTCCAGCAGAGCGAGAGCAGGAAGTGAGGCCCTAAAGTCAGTTCTGTGGTTTATTGATGATAACCTTTAAGAGATTTTCTTTCATATATCAATATGTAATCGTATGTGCTTCTATACCCACTGAATAGTAAAGATGAGTAAATCAGATAATCTTGGTTTAATGTAATCCTGATGAGAGTCAGAATAAGAAACAGATGATGCAACAATGGAAACTGTTAAAGATACTTCCTGACTGATGTTCCATTCAGGAAGACCAGACAGGAACCTTCAGGGGGGCCAAGAATTAAATGTTAACTTAAAGAACTCTGTCATTCATTGTAATACTGTGTTCTTTTACTCGTGGGAGTTTAATTTCTGGATCATTTGTGTTTATTAGCGTCACTCGCTCTCAACGCCCCGGAGAGGAGGAGGAGGGGATTCCTCTGAGTAGACAACGTTTCATCAATCACGGCTGAAATAACTATCGCTGCTTAGTCCTTGTTGTTGAAGTCCGTATTTTAAGAAGGGGGTGTGGCCTGATCCAGATCTTATTTAAACTCTTGAGTTAAAATAATCAGGTGTTACCTGTCAGTGTGATGATGTCAGACATGTATTAATACCTAAAGTACATGAAGTGATGACTGTAAAATACTGCTACATGTTGTGATAAAAGCTCAAACACAACCTCTAAAGTCCTTCATTTGTTTCAGCAGGTTTGCATGTGCCTCCATCACTCAAAGCAAGATGAACAGAGGAAGAATTATATCAATATAAAAGTTCATTAACTTCACAGTGAAAACACAACTGAAACTGAAACATGATTTCACTCTGTGATGAAATATAACTGAATTATAATTTTGTATTAAACAACTGGAACACTATTTAAATAATAATATGAATTTTATAGTTTGTATATTTGAAGAACTAAACTACTGATCTACACTGATTCATAAAGTTAATCACATCTGGACTTACTGAGCCTTTCTGCAGTTCCTCACAGCTGGAATCAGTTTCCGTTTTCCCTCCTTTGATGTGTTGTACTTCTTCAGGTCCAACTCATCCAGAACCTCCTCTGACATCTGCAGCATGTAGGACAGAGCTGAGCAGTGGATCTCTGAGAGTTCCTTCTCTGGTCTGTTCTTTGACTTCAGGAACTCTTGGATCTCCTGATGTACTGAGAGGTTGTTCATCTCCATCAGACAGTGGAAGATATTGATGCTTCTGTCAGGAGAGATTTCATAACTGTTCATCTCCTTCAGGTTGTTGATGGCTCTCTGGATGGTCTTTGGACTGTTGTCTGTCTGACCCAGCAGGCCCCCTAAGAGTCTCTGGTTGGACTCCAGAGAGAGGCCATGAAGGAAGCGGACAAACAGGTCCAGGTGGCCATTTTCACTTTCAAGGGATTTCTCCATGGCTCTCTGCAGGAAGTCGTCCAGAGATGAATACTTGTAGTCTTCTCCCATGAAGTCCTTCAGTACCTCTTCTCCCATGAAGTCCTTCAGTACCTCTGTCTTCCTGTTTGTGAAACAGTGGAACATGTAGACTGCAGCCAGAAACTCTTGAACACTCAGATGAACAAAGCAGTAGACAGATTTCTGGAAGATCACACTCTCTCTTTTGAAGATCTCTGTACAAACTCCTGAGAACACCGAGGCCTCCGTGACATCAAGACCACACTGCTCCAGGTCTTCTTGGTAGAACATGATGTTTCCTTTCTCCAGATGTTCAAACGCCAGCCTCCCCAGCTTCAGAAGAACTTCCCTGTCAGCCTCCGTCAGCTCCTGAGGACTCGTCTCATGTCCTTCATGGTACTTCTGCTTCTTCCTCTTTGTCTGGACCAGCAGGAAGTGAGAGTACATGTCAGTCAGGGTCTTGGGCAGCTCTCCTCTCTGGTCTGTAGTCCACATGTGGTCCAGAACTGTAGCAGTGATCCAGCAGAAGACTGGGATTAGACACATGATGTGGAGGCTCCTGGATGTCGTCTTGATGTGTGAGATGATTCTGCTGGACAGCTCTTCATCACTGAACCTCCTCCTGAAGTACTCATCCTTCTGGGGGTCGGTGAAGCCTCGTACTTCTGTTACCCTGTCAACACGTGTAGGAGGGATCTGATTGGCTGCTGCAGGTCTGGAAGTTATCCAGACGAGAGCCGATGGAAGCAGATTTCCCTCGATGAGGTTCGTCAGCAGCACGTTGACCGATGCCTTCTGTGTGACATCAGACATGACCTCATTGTTGATGAAATCCAATGAAAGTCTGGTTTCATCCAGACCATCAAAGATGAACACAACTTTACAGACAGAGAGCTTCTCTGCTGGGACCTTCTGTAATGTTGGATGGAAAACATGGATCAGCTGGAGAAGACTGTACTGCTCATCTTTGATCAAGTTCAGCTCCCTGAACGAAAGCAGAACCACCAGACTGACATCTTGGTTCTCCAAACCCTCGGCCCAGTCCAGAGTGAACTTCTGCACCGAGAAGGTTTTTCCAACGCCGGCGACGCCGTTCGTCAGAACGACTCTGATGCGTCTCTGTTGGTCAGCTGAGGCTTTAAAGATGTCGTGGCACCTGATCGGAGTGTCATGGAGGGTCTTCTTCTTGGAAGCTGTCTCAAGCTGCCTCACCTCATGTTGGGTATTAACCTCTTCACTCTGTCCCTCTGTGATGTAGAGCTCAGTATAGATCCTGTTGAGGAGGGTTCCACTTCCTGTTTCATCACTTCCTTCAGTCACACATTCACATCTCTTCTTCAGACTGATCTTATGTTCATCTAAAACCTCCTGCAGACCACCATCTCCTGAAACAGAGAACCCAGAGAGAACATATAAAGTAAAGGTTAGAAAGTCATCTTCACTTCCTGAAGTCAGAAAGAACTTCATAGTGACTCTTACATTTATTTGTTCATGAGCAGGAAGTGAACTCAGCTTTGAAATGAATAAAACAATCAGTAAACAATAACATCAGGCTGATATCTGAAGGTAGAAACGAGGACTCATCAGTTAAAGTAACTTTCAGTTAGAAGCTACTAAAGTAGTGAGATGTGAACACAGAGAGCTTTCTCTCTGGTCACCAGCACAGACAGTGTTGATCCAGTCAGTGTAGCTACAGACGTGGTTCTGGTTTGAGGGAGGAGATCGTCTCTGTCATGGTGCTGGGATTTTAAATGGTCGGTTTCCTGTTTTATTTTGAAAGATCACTTTTCTCATGCGTCATGTCTGGTTTTACTTCCTGTCTTTGTGATCCTCTGTCCCACCTAGATTTGTTCCACCTGTGTCAGTCTCACCTGTTTCATGAGTTAAAGGTGCTAAATAGGGAATTCAGAGGGTTTCTGTTGACTCCACATGGCTCTCAACATGGCGACGGCTGAGCCGGTGTGAGGAATTTAGGTTTAGAAGTGTTTTGTAGTCGGATTTATAGCACCCCTAGAGGTGGATAGTAAAATGTTAGCAAGTACTTGGTATGCCATATATGCTTGTAAAAGTATCAAAGTATTTGGAAACGCCACAAGAATACTTATCAAATGTATAATATGTTTACCGTAGAAGTGTTAAGCCATAAAAGACAATCATTGAACGTATTAAACTGTGAAGAATAGCCAAGGGACAGACAGGGATTAAGAGACAGGCATTGCAGAGACCACCAGGACCAGAGGAGGAGTCCGGACGACTTCAACCAAACACTGAGCTGATAACTGCCCGAAGCCAGGAGGGGCTATTGAATCTTGGCCAATCACAGAGGCTGATACTAGACATTTAAACTTTCGGAGAGGGACTTTTAAATATAAGATAGTTCCAGAGGGTTTTTGGTTCAGTTCGCGCCGTTACCACTCTGTGTAGTTGACCACTTAGGCTTGCCTCAGTGGTGATTGGACTGAGTTTCTGCCTGTCTGAGGGGGCGTGATTTAGTCTCAGCTGCTGAATAGCTTTGCTAATTGCAAGGGAGGAGCTTGCACTCCTGGCAGACAATCAGTAGATTGCTGTCCTTACGCACTTCTGTAGGCTGGAAGCGTCAGCTTTCAAGCATCTGGCAAACGAAGGCTAGGGCGAATAAAGGCAACAAGGCGACTTTTTCAAGCCCAACTTCGTCAAGCTAAGACTTCTCGAACGTGTAGTTACCTCATTTTTATTGTTCAAACCATGTGTTTGCATCCGATTTCGGTCCTCTCTTCTGCTCGGTGGTCACGTAGACATTGGGTCACTCCCAGGTGCCGTGACCCCGCTAACCTCATTTATCCTACTCTCTCAGCTCATGTTGAGCAAGTGGTACCGGGGGGGCTCTGGAATTGCCAGTCGGCAGTGCCGAAAGCTGAGTTTATCTCGGGCTACGCTTCTTTGCTCTCTCTCAGCTTTCTTGCTCTAACTGAGACCTGGATCACGCCAGAAAATACTACCACACCTGCAGCTCTGTCAGAAGTGTACTCTTTCTCTCACACTCCCAGAGCTGCGAGGCCGGGTGGTGGTACTGGCCTGCTAATTTCCCCAAATGGAAATACACTCTTGTCTCGGTTCTTCAGTTCTCCCCGTCCTCTTTCGAATTTCATGCGGTTACTGTCACTTATCCAGTCAAGCTCACCATTGCTGTTGTATATCGCCCACCAGGCCCTCTTGGTGAGTTCTTGGAAGATCTCGACACATTAGTCTCACACTTCCATGATGATGGCTCCGCACTCATCCTGCTCGGAGACTTTAACATCCAGACTGATAAATTAGAACCGCTTCTTTCCTTCCTCTCCTCTTTTGACCTTTACCCCGCCTCTTCTCCTCCTACCCACAAGGCCGGCAACCAGCTGGATCTTATCTTCACTAGACACTGTTCTACTGCTAACCTCTCCTCTCCGTCCCCTCCAGCTCTCTGACCACTATTTCATGTCTTACTCCCTCTCCCTCTCCTCTCCCCCCGTACTTCCACCACCTACCCACATGGTTTCTACCCGTAGTCATCTCCACTCCCTCTCCCCGGCTGATCTTTCATCTTCTGTTACCTCTGCTCTCCCTGACCCTGAAGCCTTCTCTCTCCTATCCCCTGATATTGCTACTGATCTTCTCCTCTCCACCCTTTCCTCTTCTTTGGACAACCTCTGTCCCTCCACCTCCAGGCCTGCACGGCCAACCCCACCTGCCCCATGGCTGTCGGACTCAGTGCGTAATGACAGACGGAGTCTAAGAGAGGCTGAGCGTAAATGGAGAAAAGGCAAACTCCCGGGGGACCTTCTTAACTTCCAAGCTCTTCTTTCCACCACTCTATCTACTGCTAAAGCTGAGTTCTTTCGCTCCAAAATCCTAACCTCTGCTTCCAATCCTAAAAAACTCTTCGAAACTTTCTCTTCACTCCTCCAACCCCCACCCCCTCCTCCTACTTCCTCCCTTCTCCCTGACGATTTCGCCAACTTCTTTGACAAGAAGGTAAACGATATCAGATCCTCCTTCTCTCAGCCCCCCTGTCCACTCTCTCCCTGTCCTCCCTCTCTACCATCTCTAGCTCTTCCCCCACAGCTCTCCCTCCCCTCTCCATGCCCCATCTTACCCTATCTTGCTTCCCTCTCCCCTAATGAGGTCCTCAACCTTGTTACATCTAACCGCCCCACCACTCCCTTGACCCGATCCTCTCCCCTCTTCTTCAGTCTATTGCGACTGAACTCCTTCCTTTTCTCATCCACCTCATGAACACATCTCTTGTTTCAGGATGCTTTCCCACAGCTTTCAAGACTGCTAGAGTCACCCCCTTCTGAAGAAACCATCACTTGACCCCTCTGATGTCAAGAACTTCAGACCGGTGTCTCTTCTACCCTTTCTTTCCAAAACACTTGAACGTGCTGTCTTTACTCAACTATCCTCCTATCTCCACCAAAACAACCTCTTGGACCCTCACCAGTCCGGGTTCAAAGTGGGTCACTCGAAAAAAAGTGGGTCACTACTTGCCGGAGCCCCGGCATCGGCCATCAGACCTCTGGAGCTTGTCCAGAAAGCTGCAGCTCGCCTGGTGTTCAATCGCCCCAAGTTCTCCCACACAACTTCCCTTCTCTGTTCTCTACACTGGCTACCTGTAAGAGCCCGCATCCAGTTTAAGACTCTGGTGCTAGCCTACAGGGCAGTGAAGGGAACAGCTCCTTCCTATCTCCAGGCCATGGTCAAGCCCTACACCCCGGCCCGACCACTTCGCTCTGCTGCTTTGGGGCGACTGGTTGCCCCGTCGCTCAGAGGTCCCTGCGGCCGATCGACCCGGTCGCGGCTGTTTTCTGTCCTGGCCCCACAGTGGTGGAATGAACTCCCCACTGACGTCAGGACGACAGAGTCGCTGCCCATCTTTCGGCGCAGGCTGAAAACTCACCTCTTCAAGAAGGCCTACCCTTCCGCTTAGCACTTACTTAGCATCTATTGTACTGTATTCATACTAGCTTATTGCACTTATTGTTTTTATATTAGTTTGTGGCACTTATTGCATTCGTTTGTTTCTGCACTGTACGTTGGCTCTGGTTTATGCTCTTAGATGCTTGTTTGAGGAAAGGACATGCACTTATTACTTCTGGTGACTAGTTGTTCTCTCGAAAACTGATGTTGAATACACTTATTGTAAGTCGCTTTGGATAAAAGCGTCTGCTAAATGACTGTAATGTAATGTAATGGGCCGTGTGAGGACTCTGCCCCACGGGACACATTGATATCGATAGAGTAATTCAGTTTGCAACTGTGCTAGCTTCTCTTGTTTATTAAATACTTTTTGATTGTAAACCGGATCCAGTTCATTTTGGTGTGACTTTGCTGCCGAAGGTTTGCAGCAGCGAAAGTCCAGCGGTCTGGGTCTCCTCTAATTATGTCCAGCTTCAACACCGGCGGCTAGCAGCTAACGGTGCTAACAGTTTAAACAGCAGCAGCAGGTCTGACAGTGTTTAGCTGAGGGGTAACGCTACGCTTTGATGACACGTTATCAGCTGTGAGCTAACCCAGACTGGGCTCTAGACAACAGGGCTCTAGGAAAGACTTTCTTTGGGGCCTCCTGACTTTGATAGAATGGAGTTGTTGTTGTCGTGTTTCTCACTGCCATCGATTGGCTTCATGTCTCAGAGCAACTTCTTGATTAACAGACAAAAAGGAATTCAACGAGCCTTCAAACAACGATGTATGGTGAGTAAAGGACATGAGCTAAGCAGTGAGGCACGCTCACATGCACGCTCACGTGCACGCGACCGGCCAGCTCTGTGAACAAAGAGAGAAGCTCTGACAACACGCACAGAGAGACTTCATTCTCTGGTCAGTGGACTTTACTCCTCTACATCTTTACAGAGATGATAGTTGTTGATGAGATATTCATTCATATATAATAATTGAAGTCCCTGAGAATACAGAAACACTAAAAACTTTATTAAAATGTTTATTTGAGCAGGTTAATCATGAATCAATGAGACCTTCTTCCTTCGTGTGTTCACATCATTGCAGTGAAACAAGTGTCTCTGCATTAAAACAACACGTCCTGTTTCCAGACATGAAGAGATCAGCAGAGAAATGGACGGTCTTACTTTGGACACTTCTGGTCTCACTGGCTGTCTGCAGTCCAGCTCTGGTTCTGGATCTGGACTTCAGCTCCTCCTCACAGTCATGAGTCTCTTCAGCGTTCAGTCTGTAATAAAAATGTTCTTTTATTTCAACTCTCCTGCTTTCATGAACTCTAATCAGCTGATGAAACATTTAGTGATTGGAGTCAAATATGAGAAATGATTTACACATTTGAAGCACATTCTTCACAGTTTGGTCAGAAATATGTGAGTGTGTTCATGTTCACAGTAACTACAGTCTTACTGTGTGTCTGAGGGTCCAGGTTCTTTACTGAAGGTCAGAGGTTCATGTTTGGACTGATCACTCTTCATAGACAGACAGACGGATCCTGGAGACTCTGCTCTCCTTCTGGACTGAACTCTGCAAACACCAACATGATTTCATTCAGAATGAATCTTTGATAAATCCTCTGAGGACAAAGACAAGTAGCTCTGAATACACAAACTGCTGTTACTGTCAATACTTAGAGGATCAAAGTGTGTATTAGTCCTCTTAGATCACATTACAGCCGTCACTGATACGAAGAGGAAGAGTTTCATTCATGAAAGTTTGTTCAATGCATCATTTAGTTATCAAATACATTTTAGTAGAACGATCAGAAAAATGAAATATACAAACAGAACACTTAGTCAGAGGTGAAACTGAGTTCTCTTACTGTGTGTCTGATGGTCCAGGTTCTTTACTGAAGAACAGAGGTTCATGTCTGGAGCGATCACTCTTCATAGACAGACAGACGAGAGACTCTGCTCTGTCCTCCTCTTCCTCCTCACAACCACTCATCTTCTGATCTGAAGTCAGAGTAAAACAGTAACACAGACTGTGAGAGAGCAGGAAGTAACACACACACACACACACACACACACACACACACGCAGTGACAGTAAAACAATCAAATGTTGGATTAACACTCACCCTGCCTCAGCTTCTCTCCTTCTGCTCCGTGACTCAAAATGGAGTCTGAACTTTGTGACTGAACACATCAGGGTTCCCTCCCTGTTCTCATGCATCTGGATCACCTGATCACTGTAGCTCCGCCCCTCTTCATTTACAGGAAACAGCTGTTCCTGTAGGAGTGTGTGGGTGTGTTTGTGAGCTCACACAGATCCTCTTTGTATGATGATGTGTTTATGAGCGTCTCTCTCGGCTTGAACACGTTGAATTAAAATGAGTTCTGGTCAAAATGTTGCTGCATTATCTTTATGTTTAAATGATGAACATGAATCTATCAGAGCTTTGTGTGTAAAGGTTTCTGTTCCAGACTGTGAGGAACAACAACACAGCTGAACATCAGCTGCTTCTTCTTCCTCTGGATCTGGAGCTTCTGTGATTCATCATTCATTGTGTTGTGTTGTACTGACGTCTGTCTGTGTGTGTGTGATGCTGCTGACACTGAACTGATTCACAGTAAAAGTACTCACTATGCAGAATGTTTACTATGTTAAATTATTGATGATTATTATTGATGATTATAATGTAGAAGGTACTTCAAACTCGTAGCTGGTGCAGGTGGAGCTTAAAAGCACCAACAGCACAAAGTAAGAGTTACACTGAAGAATGTCCTCATCAAGTGGAGGAAACCTGAAGAGAAGCTCCTCTGGATCTTTACATGTAGATGTATTATATTTAAAAATATAATACATACAGTAATCCCTCCATTCTTCTCCACGTTTAGACTTCTTTCTGCTGCTGAGTGAGAATCTAACTTCAGGGGTTTCCAGTGTTTCCCAACAACTAAAGTCACAGAGAGAAACTCCAGATCAACACACCGGGTTCTCTGGTTCTCTGGTTCTTATGTGACATCATTAGAAATAAAAATGATAGAAAGACCAAATCATCGTTCTGTTGGTTTCAGTTTATCTCAATGTGGAAAAGTTGATGAACTCAAACAAACTGAAAACTAACAGGGACTCTTGTTTTTATCCCTCCTGTCATCTCCTCGTCTCTTTGGACTGCGTTACCCAGAAGCCCCCTGTGGCTGACCCTGACAAGAAGCCTCATTTGCAAGTCCAAACTTAGAATCCAGCAACAGAGGAAGCTTCAGCGGCACAAACAGAAGAATGAAGAGCAAAGAGACGAACGCCGTGGGAGGACTGAAGGCTAATTATCAAGTCTCACTTTAATACCGGAGACAGAAGAAGAAAGGCTGACAGGAAGTTGTAATTATCACCTGTCAGAGGAGGCCGCGCTCAGATGAAGATGAAGAAGAAGAAGAAGAGAAATCCAACAGCAGTCGTCAGTTTTCTACCAGAGAATCGTTTGTGTTTCTGTCCGACATTAAATGAAGACATCTGGACAAGATGATGAGAAATCTTCTGTGTGATTAAAAATCATTTGTAAACCATCTTCATCTTTATATTTTCACACTGTGTTTGTTATGTAACTTACGTAGGTGGTGTTAGTGAAGTACAAAAGTACTTTTGGTTTTATACAGGACTCCAACAGCTTTCTCCGATTATCAGTTATGATTATATGTCTTTTATACAATCAGGCGTCACTCCTCCTCAGTCCAGATGTGGTCACTTCCTGTTCACTGGTTGCAAAAAGTCAAGATGGCGACGGACAAATCACCGAACTTGAGGCTTCAAAAATTCAGTCCACAAACCAATGGGTGATGTCACCATGACTACGTCCACTTCTTATACACAGTCTGATTACAGTGCAATAGTTTCCGTACGTTCAAGTACATAGAGTTCAAGCTGTGTAACTGATTAAAGGCGCAATAATTGATGAGTGCAATAATTGATGAGTGATTATTGGTTTACATGTAATTTAACCTGGAAGTGTATCAGTCTTTTTTAAATAAATTTAACTGTGGTTACTGACCAGTCCAGCAGACCGCAGAATCAGTGTTATTGATAGTAGCATAAAGCGGCTGTATATTTAACGGCAGGTCCACTTTGGGTTATTGATCAGGAACATAAATTTGTTTCAGGGTCGATCAGAAAACCCCAAAAGAGCCGCTCGCTGATTGATTAAACCTTTAATTTCGTCAGTCGATACTTCCTTAATGTGCCTGTATTGATCAGAGTCTGTGTGTGTGTGTGTGTGTGTGTGTGTGCGTGTGTGTGTTCCTCATACATCATTAGTAGCAACTGTAATTAATCAAACTCCAATTTCAATGAAAGATTCATTATCAGGCGTCCGCTCTCTTCTTCATCTTCACGTCCATTATTTCAACATTTTTTATTTTGTGTTATGTTTTATTGAAGCTTCATAACGAAAGTGATTGTGGACAAAATGATGTTATCACAAGGTCTACTTAATGTGTACTGTATGTTAATGTTTAATTTATATAATTGTTTCAATTAAACACTTTAAACTTGGTTTTTACTTCATGTTTACAGACTTGTGACAGAGTCACTTCATGATAAACACATTATTATTTCAGAATAAGTTGGATGGCTACTAACGCCATCATTTAGCATGAGAGTCAAACATGTTGGGGGACAGTTTTTACTCAAAACAATGAAGTGATTTTTAACTGTAAATTTCAGAAACGGTATCATTCTGTGAAATATCAGTTAAAAACTGTGAAGTGATAATTACATCGATTAGTTGATAATAAAGTAATGCAAACGTAATATAAAGGCCGGATTTATCGTTGAAACAGTTCGTTGTTTTAACATGTTGATGTTTTGGAGCTAGAAGATATTGAGAGGAAATAAAGTGTACTCGAATTTAAAGCACTATAAAGGCAAATAAAGGGAAAGTGCTGCAAAGAGATGTTTTACAGTTGGCACTGAAAGCAGTCTAAGAGTCGAAAGGAAGTTCAACCACCGAAAGGACTTGAAGTGAAGAGGATGAAAGCAGTTGAAGCGTTACTTAAAGCATTAGCATTGAAAAGGAGTTTAAATGTCAGTAAAAGCTAAAAAACTGATGTCCCCATTGAACTAAACGTTATTCTCTTACGATTTAAAGGGCAAACATGGTTTTACTGGATTACAGTCACAGTTTTAAACACGTTAACATTGTAAAGTGAAAGAAAACAAAAACAAAACAAAGCTTCTTGGTTGTGTTTAGTAAAAGATCTTGGTTTGGCATAATGTAAAAAAAGGTAAATGTTCAGTCGTTGTTTCACACGGAACATGAACGGTGGTCTTCTGGGTAAAGTGCTGTATGTGTTTCACAGCTTTTCATTGGAAACGTGTTTTTGATGCGTCAGAAACAAATAAAGCTGCGATTATATCTGTTTCCCTCGAAACGTTAGTGACAATACGGTTTCAGTTGCACCATTTGAGAGACCAGGCTGGTTAAAATTAGGAGGTGAAACGAAATGGTTTTTTTTAAATGAAAGCACTTTGAGAGTCAGTGGAACTTCAACCACTGAAAGGACACGAAGTGCAAAGGCTGAAAGCAGTTGAAGTGTTACTTAAAGAATTAGCATTAAAATGTTGAGTTAACTTATTGAAGAGAGTTCGTTTCAGTTTAAATGTAAAAACTGCAGATATTGAAGTGTCGTTTCGAGTTCAAGTCAGTAAAAGGAGTTGAAGTGTTGTCCTGTATATTGTATATTTTGAATGCGATTTGTAAAACAGAATACTTATTTATACGTTTCCATAAATGTTATCATAACACTCTGGTCTCCTGATGACGTCATGTAACTACTAAACTTTGTTCTTGAGCACTTTTCTTGAATTGAGTCGATAAAGAAAAAATAAACTATTTTGCAGTAAAGGAGATTAAAACATAAAGAGGAAATTTGAGGCTAAATTTTCATAAAAACTAGAACAACATTAAAACAAACCCACAGAGACACATTTTACTGAAGTGCTTTCACAGAAAACACGGACTCTGCTAAAACTACGAGCTCCATCTCCAAACATTAACGGTCCAAAAAGGACACGGTTACCTGGCAACCAGTCATCGGATAACGGCTCCTCGTTTGGAAGACAGCGACATTAAAAGTCATCGAGTGGAAGGAAAAGACGATCTGCTGCCATTACAGCTCATCTGACCTCCATTAGTGCGCACACAGTTAACTCTCACAGGCTGTTATTACACACCTCGTCCCTCTCAGCTGTGACGGCGCTGCTCTCAGGACGGACGACGTTAAAACTACAAACGGTCCACATGAGCGGATTGTTTCAGGGAAAGATGTCCGTTTGTTGAAGAATCATTTTGTATTCATATACAGCTCTGGCCTTATTTTCATTGTTTTGATCCAAAGATGTATTTTTTTTCCTGTAACATTTTTAAAAAGGATCCGAATCAGAGGTACATCAGCTCCTTTTTTAAATTTGTTTATTTGCACTTCCATCTATATAAAAGGACAATACATAATAAGAATACTATTTTTATTAACAACAATACAAATAATAACAATATTAATAATGATAATAATAATAACAACAACAATGATAATAAACCAGTTTGAACATTGTGCAGGTTAGAAGACTTTAGATATAAAAGTCGTGCTTGAAAAGAGGATAAACAATAAAAAAGAATAAAAAGATAAAGACACTAAAAATGTTATAATTCATCACAGTTTCAAGAACAAGTATTAATAGATTACGAGGGTGATCAGAATATTTATTTTGGTCACAGCTCACGATAAAGAAGATGTTGAGTTAAAACACTGAAAAACTAAATCAGTAAATAAAACGAATGATTGAGGCTGTAACCTTCCTCACATGAACACATGGAAACTAAAACAAAATGTTACGTTTCCATCATCTTAATCACCTCTTCTTCTTCTGTGGTGCTTAAATGCCTCCGACCAGCTGTTTTACCTCCATCAACCAATGAACTGGTGCAGCAAATGTTCAAATGTGAGCTGAGATTTATCAGAGTCTCTATCACTGAATTTGATTTAACCTTCAGGATATTTGGCCAACACACACACACACACACACACACACACACACACACACACACACACACACACACACACACACAC